TCCTTTGTTGCTGTCGTCTTTATTGAGGTGTAATTGACATACCATAAAAACCACCAGCTCTGTTGCACGATTTGCCGTGTTTTCGTATATTCCCCGGGCTGTGCAACCATGACCAGTATCTGTTTTGGGGGTAAAGAAGAACCAAATATCACAGAATCCATCAGCAGTCACCCACATTCTGCTTTCATTCCCTCAGCCTTGCCCGGGACAATCACCCTGTTGCCTCTCCACTCTTACTGATTTGCCAGTTCTGAACAGTTCCCATAGAAGGAATCGCACGTGGGTAGTCTCTTGGACATGGCCTCTTTCATTGAGAACAGTGTTTTCCTAGGTTCATGCATTTTTGTGTTTCTATTGCCTCACTGATTTTGGTTACTAGGTAATAGTTCATTGCATTTATCTATTCATCAGCCGATGACACTTGAGCCATTTCTGCTTGCTTGCTGTTGTGAGTCCAGCCGTCCCCGGAGTTTGTGTGAGGATGTGTATTTGCACTCTCTTGGGTGTATATCTAGGGGTGGGATTGCTGGGTCCGACTCTATGATTAAACACTGGACGAGCTGTCAAACTGTTGCCCAAATCTCTGCTCCGTTTCTCACTCCCAGTAGCATGTATGAGGTTCCCATTTCTCCACAGCACTAGCAGCTCTTCCTATTTACTTACTGATTGTAGCCATCCTGGTGGGTGTGATGTGGTATGTTAGGGTGGCTTGGATTTGCATTTCCTGTGTGACTCAGAACGCTAAGTATCTTGAGCTTTTGCACGTGCTCATCGGTTGCACGTGCTCATCGGCATTTATATGGCCCTTTTGGAGAAATGGCTACCCAGGCACTTGGTTCATTAAAAGGTTAATTACATTTTATTTTATTATTTATTTATTTATTTTTATTTATTTTTGACTTTTCGAGACAGAGTTTCTCTGTGTAATAGTCCTGGATGACCTGGAACTCGCTTTGTAGACCAGGCTGGCCTCGAACTCAGAGAGATTCACCTGTCTCTGCCTCCCGAGTGCTAGGATTAAAGGTGTGCACCACCACCCGCCTGGCTGTTAATTAAATTTTAATATGTTTATTTTGTTTATGCTTGTGAGTGTGTGTGTGTGTGTGTGTGTGTGTGTGCGTGCATGTGCAAATGTTTTTCTTTTGTAACATTTCACACAGGTGTACCCTTTACAGTCTGTATTCACTCCCTGCTGCCCTCCCTCATCCCTCTTCCTCCCTCTTGCTGGCTTTTACCTAATTCACTTTCTTTCTTCTTTTGTTCCATTGCTTGAACTTTTGATGCCAGGAACAAAGGCCATTGCATAATCTATGGTCAGGAAGGTTGATTTCTGTGTTTACCTCTAGGAATTTTATAGTTTAAAATTATCATTATGCTGGTGACTCATTTTGAGCTATTTTGTGTATGTTGCGAGTCTAACATTTTTATTTTCATGTGAATATCCAGCACTGTCCACTGAGAAGACTCTTTCTTTCGCTAACTGCCATTGTCACAGTAAGCAAAAATCGATTCTTCAAAGACAGGGGCTAAACTCCAGTGTTTCTGTTCTTTGCCGTTGGTCACAGCTGTCCTCAAACCAACTTCTTGGTCAGCGCGGCTTTTCCATAAGGGCTGGAGTGAGAACATGTGACTTCTTCCACTTGTTTTTGTTCTTTTCAAGATTGTGTGGGCCATTCAGGATCCCTTCCAATTCCATGTTATTTTAAATACTGTTTTTTTGTTTTTTTCTTCTATTTCTAAAAAGAAGCTAATTTGACTTTAAATAGGGCCTGTGTTGAACCTGTAGATGAATGTAGTGAATATGGCTATCTTAATAATATTAATCTATTTTGTGGAGCTGGAGTATGTTTCCATTTATGTAGCTGTTCTTAACTGTTTAATGATATTTTTAGGTTTTAGTATATTTTTACTTCTGTCAAATTAAAAAAAATTGTTATGCATGTGCCTGTGAGTGTGCATATGCCAAGTGTGTGTGTGTGGAGGTCAGAGGATGAATTTCAGGAATGGTTCTCTGTTTCCGTCATGTAGGTTCCGGGGATCAAACGCGGGTGGTGTGGCTCAGAGGAAAATGCCTTTATCTACTGAGCCATCTTGCTGGTCCATTCTTTTATCAAATTTATGCCTATTTTATTTTTTGTATTTTCTGAGTGCTGATATGACAGGCGTGTGTCATACATCTCATATTTTATTCTTTTTGAGGACATTGTAAAGTTATTTTCTTAGTTGTATTTTCAGACGATTCACTGATAGTTTGTAGACATACAATTGTTTTTGTAGAGTGAGGTTGATTCTTGGACCTCAGTTCTAATCATATTAGAGGATTTAAAAAAGGATTTTGCATGTGCAGGCTTCTATCATCTGCACATTTATTCAGTTCCTACCTCCTCTATCATCTGGGTGCCCCCTCCTTCCCAGTTTCATGCTTAATTAGTTGTGCGTGCACATCTGGTACAGTGCCAAATGGTGAGAGCAGACATCCTTGTCTTATTTATGCCCTCAGGATCAAGTATTAAGCCTTTCAACAGTAAGCGTGCCATTAACTCTGGGGTTTTCACAAATCAACTTTATCAGATTGAGGAATTTCTCTATGACTCCGAGATTGTTGGATATTTTTATCATGAGTAAGCATTAGAGTCTATCAAATATGTTTCCAAATGGATTTTTTAAATAAATGTGGCAGTACATATCCTTTAGTTCCATGCCCTCTGAGGTGCCTAATGTTCTAGTTGGCTGGTATAATTAATCCCATTTAAGTGTGATACATAAGTCTATTATATATGTGACTTGATTCAGTTTACTAGTGTGTTGTTGAGGACTTTCATGTCTGTTTCTTTGTAAAATTTTCTAACAAAGATTTATATTACTCTTAATTATGTATGCCTATGTGTCTGTGAGACCAGAAGAGGGCATCAGATTCCCCTATAGCTGGAGTTAGAGGTGATTTGCCCAACTGGCATACTGGGAACTGAAAGCTAGGGTCCTCGGCAAAGCAGTACACACTTATAATGGCTCCTTGTGTACTAAGAAGTACTGACTTGTGGTTTTCTTTTCACATGAGGTCTTCCTCTCATTATTGTCCACCAACATTGTACTCACGGAATGAGTCAGAAATTTCCTCTCTTGATTTTTTGTTAAAGTTGTGGAAGGTTGACAACAATTTTTCTTTGACTGTTTGACAGAACTTACTAGTGAACCAATCTGATTCTGGGATTTTCTTTGTGAAGAAAAACTACAGTTACTAATATGATCCCTTGTTTAAATCTATTCAATATTCTATTCTAGTTCTGACTCAGTTTCACAAATGTGGTCCTTCCATTCATGTTGTATGTTGTATGACATACAGTTGTTCATAGTTTTCTCTTACAATTCTTGAATTTCAAGTCAGTAGTGATGTGCTCTCATCCCTGAGGGGATTTTCTTTTCCATCTACTTGGTTATTGGAATTAAAGCGTGCTAATGTTGTCAACCATGACAAAGAATAAGGTTCGGGTCCCATTGGTTTCCTCTGCTGCTTTGCTGTAGTCCTTACGTTTCCCCTTTGACCACTTTGAGTTCAGCTTGCTCTACTTTGTCGAGTGTCTTGAAGTGGAAGGTAAGGGTACTGACTTGACATTGTTCTTGGTTTTAATGCAGATGTTGCAGCTGTGGGTTCCCCTCTGAGCACTGTTCTCACAGTCTCTTCTAAGTTTTAGAAAGCTATATTTTTATTTGACTCATCTCAAAAGTATTTTTCTACTTCTAGTGATTTTTTTGCATGTTGGTTATTTAGGAATATGTCAATCAATTTTTATACATTTGTGAATCCCCAAATTTCCTCCTCCTATTGATTGATGGTTTAATTTCATTGTGCTTTTCAAAAATATAATAATATCTATTATTTAAACACTTTTGAAATTTTTTTAGGACGTCTTTAGTAACCTATCATGTAATTTATCTTGGAGATTCTTTCATGTACAGCTGAGAGAAATGATTATCTTATTTCTGGGTAGAATGTTCTAGAGATGTCCGTTGTCTTTTGGCTTAGAGTACTGTTTAAGTTGTGGGGTTTTTGGGTAGATCTTCAGCCCACTTTTTTTTTTTAAAACAATCACTGAAAAGTGTGGAATAGTAGTCTTCAATTTGTATTATTGAATTTTCATTTCTTCTCTTCAGCTCTGCCAATTTTTGTGTCATGTATTTAGTGGTGCAATTGCTTGATGTGCATATATATATATATATATATATATATATATATATATATATATACTTTCAAGTTTATATTCCTATATTCATGAATGCCTAGATCCTTTAATGGTGTGAGAATCCATCCTTATCTGAAACAGTGTCTATCTGTTTTGTCTAAAATCTATCATATCTAGCATAAGGATAGGAAACCCCAGTTATCTTTTATTTAATTATTATTTTTTGGATTCTTTTACTTTCACTCGATTTTTCTGGTAGACAGCTCTTAGGAGAGATCCCAATACATTTTTATTATCATCACAATCACCATTTGGGGATTGTTTTTCGATGGACCGTTGCTGACAGTCTTTGTTTTCTTCCCTCCCTTAGGCTCTGTATTCAGTCCATCATCACAAAGAACAAAAGGCAGGTGGAGGGGTGGTGGTGGTTCTGGGCTGCAGTGTTGATTAAAGGCATATGCATACAGAGGATTCTTAGAGAGGAGACGCTGGTGTAAAATCAAGATGAAGTCGCTGCTTGAGGGGAGGTGGTGAGGCTGGTATTTTCCATCACAGTTTGGGACACTTCTGTCATGTCGCTTTACAACCTGCTCTGGATGTCGGTCTAGAAATTCAGAATCTTCTGTGACTGCTAAATCTCCATCATGTAATCACAAACTTGTGTTGCAGCATGCCTGCTCTCCCCCCTCCAGCGCTGACTGTGGGCAGGAAACTGGTGTAACAATAGGAGTATGAAAATGTTCCCATTCAGAGGCTGTGCCTCTCTTTCAGAGAGAGAGAGAGAGAGAGATTAAATTAAACCTGGATGGGTGCCATTTCTGGGCCACTAGTCTGAGCTGCCTTTCTTCCCACATCCAGAGGAATTAACACGATTCTCCCCTCCCTTGTGCTCCACCTCCCCTCCCCAGCCCCCACCTGACCTTCACACCTTCCCAACATTAGGGAAAGGAAGGAAGTTTTCCCTGTGGGTTTTCTTTGTGATGAGAGGAGGAGGCAGATTAATCAATGGGGGAAAACCCCCGAGAAAGCACACGCCTTCTTGTGTACATTCCCAATATTTTGCTATAAGTAGAGCTGGAGCTGGAGCAGAAGAACACTCACAGGGCACTGGGTACCCAGCACTGAGCACCCAGCACTGAGTGGATCACTCCTGGAGCTGAGAATGTTCTGCAGTGGCAAAAGCCTGCTCTTCCTTGCTTTGGCATGGGTGTTGCTTGCTCACCTCCACAGCCAGTCAGAAGGTAAGTGTGGCCCCTTCTGCTGGTACAGGAGGGACAAAGGCTTTCTTTTCCCCAGGCCTTATCTTGGGATGTCCTGTGGAGAACAGCCCGCTAAGAGGTGTGTAAGAGGGTCTGGTTGGGTAAGAGGAGGAGGAAAGAGTGGAAGCTAGCGACCAGGGATCTTCTCTCCTGTCAATTCTGGCAGATTTGGAGAGTGAATGGGCTTCCGGAGACACTTCAGCTTCAGGACAATGCCTAAATACCTTTTCTGGGAGTGATGTTCTGAGTGTGACATTATTCAGAAAAGTGGAGAATATTTCACTTCCAGCCCCCCCCCCCCCTTTAACCTCCCAACGAAGTAATGTTAGTAAAGTTCATAATTTCCCTTTAAGGTTCAGACTGTGACACTTGACCTCGGTGTCCCTGTGAGGCCTGAGGACATTGTTCTCCAACTTTGAGATAACATTTATCCAGTGCCTTACAGCAGGTTACATTTTAACTCTGAGGAGTGTCCAAGTATTGCTTTATTATATTACTATCTGCAACAGGTGCATGCCTGAAAACACGTGGTGAACTTGGTGAATGGGATTTAAATTCCACCAGCCAATACAACAGCTTCAGAGTGCTTTGGGTACAACTCCTAATGGCTACATTTCGCTCTGTATTTTTTTTTTTTTGTAGTTCTTAGAAAATCATATTTTGTTTGTAATTCCACTACTGTCTACTCAGTAGCCAGAGGGCAGATTGAAATTTGACCCCCTCCCATATTCTGAATATGAAATGCTTCTCTATAAAGGTCTTTTATTTTTGAAGGATGGTGGTGGGGACAGATACCCATATTCTTTAGTGATTATGGCAAACTGCCATGAGATATTTCGATTTCTTATTAAAGATTGAGAGACGCCACAGACTTGTATACTGTGTTAGTTGAACCAAAACATTACAGCATATCATTTTTAAAAATGATATCTGGCAACTATGTTAAATTAGGCCTAAAAGACCCTCAATTAGGTTTCAAAGGCATGAAAACTCATCCCTGTGAACTCAATGGTTTTGGTTTTTTCTTTTAGCAGCAAGCAACTTCGACTGCTGCCTTCGGTACACAAAGAGTGTCATTCCTTCCAAAGCTATTATAGGTTTCACAGAACAGCTGGCTGACGAAGCTTGTGATATTAATGCTGTCATGTAAGTTATCCATCAACTTTAATTCCATTATGTCAGGAATACATGGAAATTTCAGAAACATTTTTTTAACTTTATTGGAATTTTATTCAGAAATAATACACGGAACAAACTAGCTTTATTTCATATGTACTTCAAAGCTAACGTAGTACTGAAATAAGTCCAAAGTTTAGCTCTTAGGTTTTGAAGGAGTAAACATCGCACAGGGCAGAGTCACTCTCTAGAATAAACTTGTTGAATGTGACACATGGAAGACACCTTTGAATTCAGCATTTTCTACTGGAAAATGGGGCTAATTATAGTATCACTTAAAATACTCATGGTTCTTTTAGGGTGATATATTTTGGAATAATACAAGCTACCAACCATGTACATGCACATTACAAACCTCCACCAGCAGCAAACATTGAATGGCAAGTCTTGGACTGCATCTTCTGCAACTGTAGAGTCATCTGTTACATCATAGGGAAAGTCTGAAGTCTCTTCCATCCCTTCCATCAGGATTTATTATGAGCATTTTTCTCTTTCCTTTCATCTCTGGAGCCAAATGCTTAGTGTGTGGAACAACACACTAGCGTGTGAAGCTTCCTTGCATGGTCTGTGAAACACGAACACGTTTAAGTGCTTACTGAAGGCAAATAAAATTTTCAATTTTTGACTTTTCAGCTTTTACACCAAAAGGAAACTGGCCGTGTGTGCTGATCCAAAGCAGGCCTGGGTGAAAAGGGCCGTGCGCCTCCTCAGGTATGGATCACTGAAGGACAAGCAGTCTGCCTGAATGGTGGGGGAAGAAGGGTGCAGGGGGTGGGCCGCAGGCCTGGAGGAGGTCTTCAGTCTAGAGACATTGGATTTTAGAAGGGGGAATTAGAGTTAGACCATGCAAGCATAGAATGCATTTTTTGTGCTTATATGTCAATTCCATTATTGTTTGTTATTATTTTAACTTAATATCTTTTCTCACATGATGTATCAGATCTCCCTGTGCATCTGATAGTCATTAGCTACTTGATTTTCATTGCTGAGATGTTTCCTCTTTTTATCATGTATAGCTTTCCTGACACTTGGTTGGTTGCTAAACCCTGAAAAATAAAATTAATTAAAAAGAGACCAGTGATTCTGGTTTACATCAGTAATGTAACATTTAATCCATAGATGGTAGCACCATATATACTGAACTTAGAAACCCTAGACAAGTGTTCATATCCTGGTCCTGTCGTGAACTAGCTTAGTTATGTTGAGCAAGGCCATCCTTTCTCAGACTCAAGTTCCTCATATGGACTCTGAGCTACTTTTCATATTGAGATGATAGTGAAGGTGTGTGAAGAAACTTATGGGTACCAAAGCCATTTCTACCATCCATTCCTCTATTTACAGTTTACACTTTTTTTCCCTCTTTTATTACAGCCTGAGAGTTAAGAAGATGTAAAAACTGATGCTTTTCTGGATGGAATTGGACACAGTCCAAGGATGAAATGCTCACACACAGCTGGGATTGGAGGCTTCACCTGCACATCACTGTACAGACCTGATTTGTGTCTCACTGGACTTGTCCAATGGATGAAGTTGATTCATATTGCATCATAGTGTGTCTTGTTTAAGCTCGTATTAGAGTTAAGTTGTGTTTTATGTTATTTATAGATCTAGGTTTTCTATGTGTAGCTATTTAATGTTAATTTCCCACAAGCGATGGGAGGGCTTAATGTAAGGTATAATATTATGTTTAAGGGAATAGGATCATGTAGACGTTCCCATAGGCAATAAGCTATTGTAAAAAATATTTAATTTTCTTCTGTGTATTTAATTGTTTCTTAAATTGATGTAATTGCCTTATCAAGCAGAAAGTAATTACGATTATATATTGAAAATAAAAGGACTGAAAAGTTACTTGTTGATGGAATCACATATTATTTATTGATATATATATTAAGGATCTTTAAGGGTACAACACACATGAATTTTTCTGAAAAAATGTGTCTTCATTTAATTTTGCCTGGTTTACCCCTTTGCTTCTGCTCCTTATGGCCTGGCCTTTTGTATAGATTACAACAGAAAGGTTGCACTTCTGTAATTGGCAGTCATTCCTCCAAAATTAGAATGGTCCTGTATTTGAGATGCACAGTCCAGTGTTTATTAATATAAGCATTTTAACATAAATAAGTAGAACCATACACTTGTATATGAAACCATACACTTGTATAGTAAACACTATATAGAAACAGCAACCATTTAGAAAATACCTGGGAAAGTCACTTGGCTAATCCTTCTACCAGCAGCTCTTCATCTTGGCTGGGAACCTTTCTGTACTTTTAAGTCCTGAGCTACCTTTAAGCAGTCTTCCAAAGGAAAATAACTACTTACGAAGGTCTTAGAACCCCAAAGCCTTAGTAGCCAGAGGGCAGACCTGAGATGGTTAAAACTAGAGAGGATCTAGCAATGGGACTCTCAAAGAATGGCATCATTCCGGAGGCTCACCAGTGTGCTTCCATAGCCCTCCAGATGGCCTACACACAAACACACACACACGCACACGCACACGCATGCACACATACCCATAATGCAGCCCAGAGTTGGGTCTTTTGACAACAAGCTAAAAAGAATAGTGGCTTCAGTATACCCTGAAGACATCTCCATGCCCAGGAATAGTAACCTTGAGTCATCAGGGAAAGTATGCTTATCATCTTGTTCATTGGTTCAGCCAGACCAGGGTTAGTCTCCTTATGTGCCAAACACAAGTGCTAGAGAGATGAAATGATGTAAGAGTTGGTAATGTGCTCATAGTTAATTAGGGTTAAACCATGTGGTAAGAGGAAGGGATGATATGTAGCCTGGCTATTACAGTGCCTGGTAGCAAGCACGTTAATATAGACAGTCATGGGGTATACTTGTACATCACTAGGGAAGGCTTCCAGGAGAACAGACTATTTAGGTTAGCCATATTAAGTAGCTAATACCATGTTCTTGGAAAATAACCAAAGCATTTCCATGTGGCTCAGCTCAGTACTTGAGGTGAGGTATGAAGAACCAGTAGGAGGTAGCCAGTTGGAAAGGGGGCAGCTCAGAGTGTTTGGAAACATCTGGAGCATGTTTTAGTTGTCACAATATCTGAAGGTGGGTACCACAGGCATTCAGTGGGCAGGAGCCAGGGATGCTAAACCTACTGGAATGCACAGAATACTTCTGCACAATGAAGAATTGTCCCACCTGAAATGTCAATCATAGTCATGCACCCATGGAACAATACTGGATGAAGCAGAATCCCTGCAAGAAGTGATGGGGGTGTGAGACAGCAGATTCAGTAAAACGGTTACCTTTACTGAGTAGAGTGGTTTGGACTTGACCATGGGGTTACCACAGAACCACTAAAAAGGCCAAGGCAGGTGGGGTCTCTGATAATGGAGGAGAGAGAGGTGAGGCAAATGAGAACTACAGCTGTTCCAAAGAGTGAGAGATAATGAAACCTCAACTAAAGTCAAGGCGGAGGAAAAGGTAGAGAAGAGATAGGCTGGTGAATATTGAGATAGCTTAGCTACCTCTGGTCCACTTTTAAGCATCACCCTTTCTTGGAACTGCACAGATGAAGAGAACCATTGTCAGCGCATCGGAAATTTGGCTGACATATAGGAGGGGTCACTAGGTAAGCCTTGTAGAGTCAGAAAAGGAATATATTTTTATTAATATTCTGAACATGTCTGAAGCTTTGGGAATAAAGCATTCTAATAACTGCTAGGTAAGTCTGCAGAGGCTGATGTCTCCAGGACAGGCACCAGTTTAACAGTCAACAATGAAAAAACAAAGGTGACTGATGCATGGGCATGTGCTTGTGGGTATATTAATCGAGCAAGCTATTTCAGAAATCATGTTGGAATCATAGTTGAACTTGGCCTCCAAGCACAGAGGACCTTACTACGTATCATGAATATTCAATGGGCTAGTTTATTGGGCTAATCATGATTTTAGATCATGGATATGATTCTTAGTTTACAGGTCTTTTTGGTTTTCATTTTAGAATGTACATTTTTCTACTTAATTTTCACTTGAGGTATAATTTACATGCACTAAAATATGTACATTTTACATATATAGCTTGATGAATTTTCTTTCACATTGGTAAATACCTGTTAGCAACCTTGCTAACTTAGGACAGTAAATATTTTTAGCACCTAGGAATGTGTCCTCACAGCCTCTTCCACCTGCAGCTCAAAGGTGACAGATATCTGGGTTTGTTTCACAGTAGATAGCCTCTTTGTGATTTCGTACTCATGAAACTACAGAACATATGTTTTGGTATCTGGCTTTTTATTAAAAAAAACCCTAGAATCTCTCTCTTAATTGCTTTCTAGTTGTATGTGCAAATCATAAGTTCACAGTCATTCTTAGGGTCACACAATGGTGGTGACATAGTGTATAGAGTGATGAACTCCATCAAGTCTTCAGGCCTCCAGTGATAATGTGTGAGGATGCCTCGACACCCACCAAGATAGGCAGCTTTACAAGTCTGTTTTCCCTACTATGGTTTGGATTCAATGAAAGCATGCACACAGTATTTTTAAAGGACTCTGGCCCAATGCTGAGTTTATGGACAACGCTGTGCATAGTCTAAAGTGGGACACTGGTCTCCATTCCTCCAATGATTAGCATGGCTTTTTCATAGGACATATGAACCTGCTGTTCACAGGTTTGAAAGGCTGCCCCAAGAACATTGTTTTGTATTTTATATTCCTATTTTCTCCTTTCTAGGCTGAATAACAGTAGTTTGTTGCGGTGATACGAGGAGTTGAACTCCACTTCATCTCCAGGTATGGGAGATGAGTTAAAGTGAGATACATTAGGACCAGGCCACAATGAGCTTAGTGCTTTGCAGCCCATAATTCAGGAAAAACACAATTCCCATAATTCAGGAAAGACAGAGTTGCTCACCTGACGGGTGAGTACTTGAGGCATCCAGGCAGGACAGGATCCTGAGGCTAAGAGGCCAAGGAGAGCAGAGGGAGGCTGATCATACACTTATCATATGTGTTCATAAATTCTCTTTACTGTCTATTATGACCACATTTTAACTGATTTATTTTTAGTTTTTAATTATTTTATGTCTGGGCTTTTGGAGGCCAGAGGTCAACTTTGGGTGTTATCTCCTTTAGTACTCCACCATATTTTTGAGGCAGGGTCTCTCATTGGTTGGTCTGAGTTCATAGTTTGAGCTAGACTGACTGACTAGGTAAGCCCTGAGAATTTACTGTCTGAGCCACACAGCAAAGGACCTATGGGTAATCAAGGGCCCAACTTTGGTGTGAGTGCTGAGGATGTGAACTCAGGTCCTTATTCTTTCTCACTAAGCATTTTATGTGAGCCACCTCCACAATCCAAGACCACATTCTGATACAAGACCTTCAATTCCTAATGTAAATTCTTTGACCACAGAAATTTCTTTTGTCTTCCTTAGTCCTGTTTTGTGAGGACAGAGGGACAGTACAGGTAAGACTTCTTTATTAATGCTCCCAGACCACCTGAATTATTTGGGAGCAATTTATGGACATCCCAAGGCAGTGGCTGGCATGCTGAAACACACCATGGGTATCACTATGTGTGTATGTGTGTTTGTACTCTTTCCCCATCCTGAGATGGTGGTGGGGAATCAGTGAGCTCTCTTTTTCTGTTTTAATGAATGAAGCCAGCTCGGCCTTGGAATTTTGTTGAAAGCATATGAGATACGGACTCCAAGTAGATCCATAGGTACCATTGTCATCTTCAACAAGATAAAGTCTAGAGTGATTATGGCAGCTATCCCCAACTATCCCCACCCTCTTTCATCATCCAGTTCTGGTCATGACGCCTTGTATTTGGTGGGTTGGGCACAATCTGATCTTGCCTGAGATGTTACATTTTGCTGTTGAAAGGGTTTTACTTCCTTAGTTTCAACCCTCAGGACTCATGAGCCGGCCTGCTCCTCCCCCATCGGCCTGGTTTTGCTCCTCCGCCATTCTGCACAGCCTAGTCTGACCTTGCCTGGGCATGACACACCCTGCCCTCCTCCCTTCCCTGCGTGGAAGGTAGCTCTACTTTCTCTGGATGGTAGAACCTGCCCGCACATGAGTCACTGTGGGTGCCAATGTCAGTTTAAGTTAAAGAGATGTTTCCTGTTTTACAACAAAGGTATAAAATGTTGTTCCCCTGAGTCTAACCAATCACAAAAACCCCACTAACAAAATCCTTAAGTCCTACATTTATCCTGCAATTGAGAAACACAAAGACACAGTGTACTCATGGAAGTAGTTTTAATAGTTAAGGGAAGGGCCAGGAGTTCTACTTGGGCCTTGCAGGTTCTGCCAGGGTTTCCAAGAAATATGCTGCCAAGTGAGTAAGAATGTCATTAACATTGTTGGGTGGAAAAGTCAACATCTGTACACCAAAGCTCTTGTTCATGATGTATTAGCACATATGTATGTGCTAGGGAGTGTGTAGATGGCCTAGTGAGTGTATGTGAGCCTATGTTGCAGAGTGCCTGGAGATGGGGTTGCAAAAAGTAGTCGTTATCTTAAGGAAATGCTTTCATCCTAATTTAAGACGAAACAGCTACATCTTGGAACAATACTTGGCTCCAGAAGTTAGGCTTTTCTCCTAAGGGCAGAGGTGGGAGGTTAGGGTATTAGGTTCTTGTTCTTGATGATTATATTTTAAAGGCTGACTCTTGGGTCCTAGACAAAGTCATGCCTGGGTTCTAAAACATGGCTTTTCAAAAACTTAAATCTCAATGAGTTGGGGGAAAAAAAAGCCCACAACAAAGTTTTCTAATGTAGATACATTGAGGAGGGAGGTGATGTCAGAATCCTATAAGTTGGGGTAGCCAGCTAGAGGAAACCGCAAGGCCTTGTGGGTATCTTCGAGCT